TGACGATATTGGAAGTCAGAAACTATTTTTCTCTTATGACAAGCTCGATATATTCACAGATTAATAAAACTTTGCCATTTATCTCGGAATCATCCATTGTGTTAGATAAAATTTGTTCTAGGCAATTATACCACCTCTTTCTGTTTATATTATTGATTTTTCGAATCCAGAACTGCGAAGGATATCAATCCCATATGCCATATCTACCATTCCAAGGATAGTAACATTTTGGGCCAGACACTCCAAAGTTACGTAATAATAGATAATGACGGCTCGTATAATTATTTTAATTAAATCTATTGATGTTTTCGTCGCTTCCAAGACATTTTTCAGATAAAATTCCTTACGTGGAATGAGTATCGGAATGTTTGATCTCGAAATGAGGTCTATTAAAATACCATTCGGTAGCTAATTGACTGATATCCAGTGGATCCCCGTGGTCCAGGTTACGTAATATAATCGTTTACCTATTAAAGATAAATTGCTATCCTAAATTTAAAGGTCAGTCTATTTGTGTGCGCTAGCCAAGTGGTCTGAAACTAAACAAACAACCTTTATCTCTTCACAAATAGCCAGGCCACCGTAAACACAGAATAATATAAAAAATGGTATCAGTGCCCTGATTGATTTAAAAATAAATCTATCATCTAAAAATGACACATTACTAAAAATATAGTTCGAACTAACGAGCCATATCTGACTAGTGTTTCCCAAATGCGAGACCGATACGATTCTTGGTCTTGCGAACCCAGTCTTGATCGTGGTCTTGGTCTTGCGCAAAATTCTTGCAGTTACTTATTGGCTTATTACTATAGAGATGTTATTGTAATTATTAGACAGGAGAAACCTAACTAAGCCCGAATGAAAAATTAGAGGAGTTAAATAGTATATTAGTTATACCAATTATTAACATATAGTAACTGAAATCGTCGAGTATTAGTAACTATTTTGCCTTAATTTTTATTTAAAAAAATTTTTTTTTACTAGTGCTCGTCTTGGTCTTGCAATAGTTAGGCGGCCTTGGTGCAAAGTGCAAGACTAAGACCGATATTGGGCAACACTAATCTGACTGGCATATCCTATTTTTACTTTACCTTCTATTAATAATTAAAATATTCCAAATGCAATCATCCAAGGATCTGTGCGTTGAAAGCTCATAAATACAAAAAAAAATCGGTTGTTAGTCTATTTGTATCTGTTCCACGATTAACTTTAGAACGAGTTGCCGATTGTGTTGTTCATTTTCTTTTTTGTTTTGTTTTGTAAGTGTTTTGGATTTCGAAGCTTTTATATCAAATGTGTGGCATACTGAGTGTAATGCCCGATAAAACTTGTTTTTTCTGAGATTGTAGATACGCCAAATCGGTTCATTAAAAGCTTGCTAAAAGTCTTTAACTACAACCCCTTTAAAGCATAAAAAATATTTTTATAAATTTATTTGGAAATAGGATCGCAATAGAAGAAAACTATAACTGATTTATTAACGAATGTGCTTCATTTAAAACGTTAAAGAATAATGACATAGTAATTGTGTGTTGGTAGGAAACGACTTAGAAATCGCTAATATCCTCGGGATCAACTAATAACAATTTATTATCCCCAAGTATCCGTTCTTCGCTAAAAACACAACTGTCTAGAGCAGATTGATTATTTTGATATTTAGGTATAAAAAATCCAAGTTTTTAGCGCCTGATCATCAAAATAATAATACTTTTAAAATATATATCTTGTAGGCTTTGAAAAAAAAAAAAATAAAGTGTGTGCTATAGACCACACGAAAGAAGTGAAAAATTCAACAAGGAAAGATTAATAATATGAAATATAAATTATAAATACTAGCTAAGCATAAAGAGGATGACATGCTGAACATTTCCCTCGCTTGCAGTACGCAGGTTCGACTTTTAGTTTCTGAGATATTTTAATACATATTTTCCATAAAACTCTTTATTATTTGTTTTTTTGACACTAATTTTTTTCCTTTTCGACTCCTTTCTTCCCTAACACGGCCTTGCGTTAAGATACAATTTTGAATAATATCTCATAACAAAGAGGATGAAATGATGAATATTTTCCCTGCTAGCTTACAATATGCTGGTCCGATTTTTAATTTTTGAAATATTTTAATCCATATGCAAAAACGCTTTAATTAGTTGTCTCCAGCCGACTTTACACATGGGAAATCTGTGGCTCAATCTAATTCACTCTGCAAAAAAAAAAGTGCAAAACACGCTTAAAGAAGTTTTTACTTCAATTATAAAATTAATAGATGAATTAACTTAAAGAAAAAATAAATTTAAAGAAAATTATACAAAAAAAAAAAAAGAAAGAACCGGCAAACGATCATAAGTTATAAACTTGTTATAAGATTTTCTGTGTATCGAAAATTGATAACTTTACTCAAGTTTTCTTCCAAGTTTCCCAGGGATGCTGATACATTCTGAATTCTTTTAACCCAGTGGTGTAAAATAGACATTCTTCTAAAACATGTTTAATAGTTAATATCTTATCACATTTTTAACACCTCGGGATAAAATGTTTTGTTATAAAGTCGGAGATATGTCAGTCTAGTATGTTCGATCCTCAGCAGCGTGACTTCTCTTCGACTGCTGTATTTAGAGCTGATCCACAGTTTCACTTTTTCTTTATCGCCTTGTTGTCTTCCAGCCTTTGCCATTCTTGGAAATATGATTTGTCTTAGAGGACACGTAAGTTCAGATGCTCTTGGGAAAGCTTTACCGCGGCCTGTAGTGTTGCCCAAAATCGGTCTTGGTCTTGCAAAGTGCATGACCAAGACCAAGGCCGCCTAACTGTTGCAAGACCAAGGAAAAGAACGGGTAAAAAAAATTGATTTTTTAAATAAATACTGGATTCACCGAATATTCAGAGAATATGTTTTCCATAGAATTATCCATGAACATTCCTCATTGTTATACCTGTACGTAGAGCTCAACCATGCCACCTCAGAGGTAATTTCATAATTAAATCAATTAGTATGAAAGACAATGCTTTAATGGATCTCAAATTTTTGGAGTTTTTCGAAGGAAATTAGTATTTTAGTTCGGCAAATTTATCAAAGGCATTTATACAAAGCCTTTATAATATCTTTTTAATTGAAAATATTATGATACATTGGTTATTGTAATTTTAAAATCATGGTGTTTTTTTTTACAGTTCCTAGAAATCTCTTCGCTAAGAAGGAACTTGCGGTTGGGTTTATTGGAGTGAAAAGCTCCTCGTTTCTGATGGAATGCAAATAAGTTTCTTTGGTACAGTACTTGTTGTTTGTGGAGAATAAAAACTAAATAATATTACAGATACAAGAAGATGAGATAATTATATTCCATTTAATAATGAATAGAATTTTCCATGAGGAAACAGATAATAAAAAAATAGCAACTAATACTTGTTCTGGGTCAATTTAATATCAGACATCTGATATTTCGAATTCGATATAAAAAAAAAAAAAACAAGAGGGTTATCGTTATTTTTTATTTATAGAAATGCCGCTTTAACTCTTCTATAAAAAAAAGTCTAATATTATTGAATAAGAGCTATAAATATTTATGAAATTATATAAATTTATATATTCATGAACTATGGATACATGTTTATTTATAAAAAATATTTGCGGTCAAGTTTTTAATAATGATTACGGAGATATATATCTTAATTTTGAATGGAAAAGGGAAAACAAAATTTTATTTATTATATCATATTTTATTTACATTTTTAAATAAGGACAAAAGTTTGAAAATTAACAGGTTGATAGTGCTATTAAAATCGAAATATATTATCCTGATTTAATTTGGTCTAGGAAAGGATATTCTAAAAACGAAGAAAAATTTTCTTGAATCATTATGAATTTAAATATTATTTTTTATTTTTTTAGCCTCATACCAGACCGAATCAATAAGAAAGCGCTCGACGTTTCCGATCACTTCAGCACTTACTAGACAAACGCTCTAAACTTCCAATTAATTACAAAAGACTCATACCCATGACTATAATAAGGCCTGTTTGGACTTACGGAGTTGAGCTATGGGGCTCCACTAAACCATCGATTTTCTCTCGTATCCAATCCTTACAATCCAAAACCCTTCGTAAAATCCTCAATGCTCCCTACTTTGTTACAAATAAAACCATCCATAATGACCTTAATGTTTCTTATGTTTCCGATCTGGCCCAATCCAGATACCTATCCTTCCATAATAAACTTCAGAATCATCCAAACCCTATCTCGTTTCTAACGTTGATTCCTCTTCAATTCCTGAGGCGTCTGAAAAGAATATGGCCCCGTGATCTGCTAATGTAGACTTATCGTTAGAGTGCTACATTAGGTACTCAGCAAGTGTTTTTATGTCATTATATCCATATGTTACAATTGTAAATATCGGTAAGAAATAAAAAAACTATATATATATATTTTCCTAGCAAGTCGATCGAGTTTAATTTTAAAAATCAACAGATACTCTAAGCACGTTTAATGAACAGTATTTTGCTAATATGTTTGTATTTCGAAGCGGCTAGATAAATCTATGTATGAATGTTTATTTTTGTTTATATTTTATATATGTGTGTTTGTAATTTAAATGTTATTATAATTAACAAATGAGTTAGCGTAAATTAGTTCATAGCTGGCATGAATAATAATTTATATTAATGTATTAAATATAATAATAATTAAAATTTCATTTCTTATTAATCTAATTCTTAAAAAAAAAGATGTTCACTAAATACAACAATGTCTTTGTTGATATAACTAATAGTCATTTTTTAAGTTAAGTAATAATTTTGATGATGAAAGAATATCATTTAAACGTATAATTATACTTATTGATAATGTATAGAGTGATTAATAATTGAAAGAAATAAAAAAAAAAAGTTTTAAGTAAAAGACTCAATCATAGCCGATTACTTCAAAATTTTATAATAATAACTTATGAAACTGTTGTATTTAATGAACGATATCGTCAAATTTCGTTAGTGGAAGAGTCAGTCACCTGCAAGGGAAGCTGAGGACTTGTTCAGCTGCTAGCGTCACCGCGGCGACCAAGAGAAGGACGAAAACTTGAGGACACATGACGGATGCTGCTCGGCGTCAAGGAGTGGAGATATGACAGTTCACTTCCCGACTACCGAGCAGCGACTGAGGCCCGCTGAAGATAACCTCCCCTTCCTCACACATTGTCAACTGGATGGTCCTCTTGTCCAATGGCTGTTCGAGCACGTGGCAGACAACCAATCGTAATTTGAGGTCTACCGGGTAGCCCCGCCCAGAACCCTCCAGCCTTTCGGAGTTATGGTTATAATTTTACCTGTGATCGGTTAAATATGACAACACTGTTAAAACCGAGTTGAAAAACATTTTTTTAAACAATTCACTCAACGAGAGCGGCCTGGACCACATAGACCATGACCTACACTAAGGAAGATCCGCTGGACGAGGGATGTATATATATATACGCGTAGACCCCCACCAAGGAGACCGCTGAGGCTGCCGCAACGTTATTTAATGGGTTCTGTAGTGCCTGAATATTTTGATTCCTCTTCATATAATGTTTTAAAAAAATATTTTTATTGATATTTTATACATTTTACCACACTTAAGGGTACTAATTATTGTAGCTGTAAGGCATACATCCTATAAATATAGACAAAAAAAATCTGATTTTGATAATTTTCAAGAAGTTTTTCTGCCCTTTATTTGAAACGTAATGTTGAAACAAGTTTCATTATTCCATTACGATACGATCGCCTGTAACAAGAGGAATATGTCTTAAAAGTTTCTTCCTCACGGATATTTATAATATTTGGGTCGTTTATTTCTATATTCAACACTAATCGATTTTTTTAACGGAAGCTGCAATTATTTAATTTTTCAAAAACGAACCTAAATTTAAAAAAAAAAGGTAAAAATAATTTTTATTTCTAAAACCGACTTTTCTTTAAGGGGTGTTAAAGAAAAAAAAAAGATTCAGCGAAAGTTTTTTTTCCGAATGAAAATTAAATATAAACATATGTTATTGTACCACTATTGTAAACAAAAAGTTCAATTTTTTTTTTAGTAAAATTGTAATAAATTTTTCGTCCCTAATCATACACCATTTTTATTCTCCTAATTGAACTCTAACCAACAATTTTTTTTTTTTAGGGAGCTTGAACTTCAATTCATTTAAAAAATGGCCTTGTTTAAGTTTTAAACTTTTTTTTTTAAATGATCAATGATTTTGAGAAATATGTGCTACGAAAGAAAAAAATCTTAATTTATTTGTTTTTAAATATTTTAGAAATAGAAATAGATATTATAGTTTTTCATGAAAATTGTTATTGACGAGGTTCACTTTAAAAATAAAGGATTAATATGTTTTCCATTGATTCCAGACCATGAGATTTCAAAAAGTTATTTTGTATCTTGATACATCTATGAAGAACACATTGCTGAATCTTCCTAAATATTCAAAAAAGTCTTCCATAATTGTATTTTCCTAGAGAAATGAACAATGCAAAGTTTCGAGGGAAATTTATACAGGTTTAGTGAAATAGATAGAGTTCAGAACTTCAAGCAACATTCAGAGTAACTATGTCGGTTAACCAGTCCGTGTTCTCAAGTAATATTCTTACCACGTTACGAAGAGAAAACTCAGATTTTTGGTTGCTATGAGTGTGACAAGATCTTGGTGTTCGAACAAATTGCACAGCAAGCAACCTTCCAATGGATAACTGCTTTTCATGAGCTTCAACATGTCCCACATGAAATTATCATGACATGATTAGCTTCCTCATAGAAAATCTTACTTCCCAGCCAAATAAATGTTCCACAAAATGACACAGAATATAATACTAAAGAAGCTGCAACCTCGACGGTAACTTCATCTCTGAAAAATAGTATTCATTTCAGTTAAACTCAACAACAATGAAACAGTATCAACTATTTTCGTCCCTGGAACATTCACTTTACTTTGCTCGAAAAAAATCTTAAAAAATAGGTAAATAATAGAATTTTCGTTGAATTGATCCTATTAAAAAATGAATGAAGAATTAGTTGCTGTAAACGTATTTCATGGTTATGGAGTAGTATAAAGTAAAATGAATTCCAACATGAAGATAATTAATTGAAACATACCTCTATTTCTTTAAAAATACTCTACTTGAGTATAGTTGTAAGTTTCATTTCTTTAGTTAGTTATATTTGAGTGTCATGTGCAACAACAAAAGTTACAGGCATTAAACATTGAATATTTAATAGTTGACCGTTGCATTATAAAGTATGGAGATGGTCCGGGGTGGCGGTCATAAATTGGCTGAATAGTGGCAAAACTATTATATTAAAAGCCAACGTTTTGAGCCGACTTTGCAGGTCTTCCTCAGGGACTTTTGTTCAGCTAGGAGTTTCAATTAGAACTGACTTGTATTCTAAGTGAAACTCCTAGCTGAACATATCTCCCTGAAGAAGACCTGCAAAGTCGGGTCGAAACGTTGGCTTTAAATAAAATAGTTTTGCCAATATTTAGTCTATTTATGACCGCCACTCCGGACCATCTCCTTCCTTTATCCAATAAACATGTCTGTAAAAATATTATGTTGTTTCTGGTGAGATTGTGTTGTTAAGATATGTCTGTAAGAAATCTGTCGTTACAACTGTATATGTTAGTTCTAATGTGCATAGTAAGTGTGCTTATAAACGTTGTTTTTTAAACATGATTGTAGCAATTGTGTATTTTTCTGAAATAGGAACAAATTTTTCATGTTTTCTGATTGTAGGACTTGCCGATATCCCCGGAGATAAAACAAGGTTCTCGATCGATTCAAGCTTGGACACTGTACTAAAATATCATGGGTGATAAATATTCAGGACGCAGTCATTTTAAAAAAAAATATTTTTTTATTTATGCCAACGTTTCAACTCAAACATGTGGTTCATCTTCAGTGCTCAAACCACAGCCTGAAGATGACCCACATGATTGGGTTGAAACGTTGGCACAAATAAAAAAAAATTGTATAATGACTGTGTCCAGACTATTTGTCATTTTTTATCAAGCCTGACATAGCTTGGGACCCAGAGAAATTTAATATTATTGTTCGTTTCTGTAATAAGTTGTGAGATAGAGAATTGGAATTTTTTTATTAGCTTGAGGGTTGAGTTATAATCGCTCAGAATTATAATGACACTAGAATTGGAATTGAAAGTAGGATTAGAATAAGTTTTAAGTAATCAACATTTTTTTTTTTTAAATAGTCCGCCTTGAAAAAAGTAATTCCTCTCACTAGGTACTGAAGATAGAAATTCTGCATGACCTACTTCTCCTGTATTTGTGAAACGCGTAAACTAATAATAATTATAATATTGTTATTGTACAATATATTGATTAAATAACAGAAAGAGGCTCATATGATAATGTAATGGCACGCGTGACTTTCCTTTAAATTAATAAATATTTCAAATAGGGTCCACGGATCTATCTTTATCGCAAGAGATGACATAACAGCCATCGTGATTAATGACCTATCAATCGATGACCTTGTAGTTGGGCAACTTGTTTGGGATAATTATAGAGTATTAACAATAATATCACTGTCAGGAATGTGGAAGAATTCGCCAGACAGCATGTTTTTTGATTGATATACTGATAAAATGATTTCCGTTCCATGTATCATTATTTTCTTCTTCCAAGGGAGGCTCGCAAAATAGATCAAGATTGTTTTATATCACTTATTATATAACTTACACCATAATATTATTGAATTCATTAGATTTATTAATTTATTTATTTTAAGTGAATTAATTATTAGCACTGTTAGCGGTGTCACACAGTTTTACCTGTGTTAAATTTGGTTGTGAAAGCCTTTTCGCATCTAAACGATGAGTATGAGTGCATCATTTCAACTAAATAATAACCTTAATTGATATGAAAAAAACAATAGGACCAATTACTTTAATTTAAATATAATGTCGGATCTAAAGATATTAAACTACACCACGTGTATTTGAGGTTATAAAAATATGTTTTAGTCATCCATTAAGTGTCTTTATATTTCACTTCCCTTTCAAACAAGTATTATAAAATAGTTTTTAAACAATGTTGCCTTGATTTGTTGGATTATATGTATTTTTCATAAAAGTTGATACAAGTTCCATGGAAACATTTGGTTTCAGTTAAATAATATAAGTTTCCAGAAAGTATTGTTCATAATTTTTCCGTCAGTAACGATAACCTTCTACGACTTTGTATATTAGATTTTTTTTTCTAAAATCCTCAACTTTCTAAAGATATATTATGCATAGATATTCTTACTTTTATTTCTGTAAATTCATTTTCTACCTGAAAAAAATATCTATCTTTTTTTTCCCTCTTTTGTTCAATTGTCAAATTCTTTCATGGTATGCATTGGATCTTTATTTGTCACTACTACTAACAAAAACAGAGAGTTAATTATTTAAAGTAAAACAACTTAAAGGTACTTTAGAGGAAGAAATTTAAAAAATGAAGCATTTAAACACTGTTAAGTGACATCAATGAGAAGAATACCTATCTAATATTGAAAACCATTTAATTATACATTAATATACCGAGTTTAATCAAAATAGAATAAAGCGATTTTGGGAAAAGTGTAAACATTTGTAAATTTCGTTAGGTGATCCAATTTTGACGAAAATTTTCTGTAACATCCCAGCCATATCATTCTCATCATAAGTGGCGCGACATCCCGTCACCGAGACTGGGTTTCCTCTTAAAGTCTCCGCCAGTATGTTCGGTCGTTTGCTGTAGCTCTCCAATCCAATTAGAGCTCACGCGTTCCTATAGACCAATCCATCCATCGCATGTTCGGTCTTCCAACTCGCCGCTTCTAACAAATTTCGGTAAGCATATTTTTCGGATTTTCGTTGGCATCCATCCTTTGTACATGTCCTGCCTATTGTAGAGTACCGTTAGTTCGGCATTCCTCCTTTTCCAAAACCCCTTTCCAGCCGTCTACAAATCTCAAATACAAAATTTCATTTTTGGACTACTTTTCGTTTTTGACCAAGACTGTTAACTAATATACATACACACAGACTATTTTGTGACATTATGGATTCAGGGGACTGACTGTGATGTATAATTCAGTTGAAAACTCAGATTCGAATATTTTTTGGATCGTAATACTTTCTGTTAATCATACGCATACACAGGTAAGTGAAAGTAAAAATGAGTTGAATTTAGTAAATAATTTTTTTTGGTACGTTAAAAATTGCTTACTTTCAATATGCTTCAAAGTTTGTCCCTGCGCTTTATGTATAGTGACTACAAAAGATACAGGAA